GTCGGTGTGACGATGGAGGTGGTGGCCAAACTATGAGCGGAATGCACGGGGTGGAAATTACGCGTGACCAGTGTGGCCAACTCGCACATCTCGTGACCGTAGCCATTCCCGTTTCCGCTGGGATTTTCCACATCTAGCAACAACGAGGATGAGAAATCATCAACTTCCTCAATACTGAGTTCTGCAGCCTCAGCCTCGAATATCTCGTAGTCCTCGAGGACTAATGCCAACGAGGTTTCGTTGTTCCCCGTCATCGGCGAATCCTTGAGAGGCAATTGCTGTGTTCGAGGGGCCATGGTGACTACTNGTTCACATATTACGGAGAACCGTCAATAGGACGGTAAAGTTCAAAGTTTTCAAAGAAAATACCCAGAAAACAGACAGCATTACCGAATAATGAAACAAGACACCAGGACAGCATCGGCCAGAATTGTGAACACACCGCTGTCCATGCAGCATTCCATGAAGCTGGTGGGGCAACCGGACGAGCAATGCTGAGGTTAGGCGCAGAGACTCAGGTAACCGAGGTCGCCCAATGAAACAAGTGGTTGACCTCAATAGATTACTTTGGTTGGGGTATGTGGTACGCAGGTCACCAAATAGGCTGCTACGGTGCGCAATGTTTGCCGAGGCAGGTAGTGGGTGGAATGAAGCCAAGGTTGGTCAAGCTAAAACCTGGTATGAGAGTATGAAAACCCAGTTCAGGAGACTCAGTGATATGGGTCGCATTAGGATCTCTGAGTGGGGATCTTGAGATCATGGTAACCGGTGGTTGGAGACACTGAATGATACGACTGTGTCGCAAACAGCGATGCTTGTGCACCTACTCATTGTCTTTGCAATCTTGGTCTATGTGAATTCTCTATATTCTCTTTGACTCTGTTCTCAACATTACAATCCTTATTCGACTGTGTTTCTCCAAATGGACAGCCAAAAGACACCAACCAAAACCGACGCATGAAAGCGCCTGGTTAATGGTTGTACAAACTGAATATCGGCAAGGTGACAGAACCCACTGATAACCGCAGCAGAATGAAGTTATGAAAAACATCGATCAGCGAAAGGTTCGGTATGGAAAGATGTTGCGTTCATTGATCAGACAAAGCAAAACACACCAGCCATGGTCGAAATTATCGATCACCTTAACTGGAAGACTACATTAAACCAATCATCACATTGAAATCATATTTACCAAATGAGTAATGCGCACTAAAAGTCACAGATCTGTTGTCAGTCTAACATTCCAACACAACTGACTCGCTGCAACTTCCGTTGCATCAGGGAGAGCACAATCGGTGACAGTACACGGGAATTCGCACAATCGCAACAGATCTAACAAGCAGTTAATTAAAATACTGAGTACACGAACATAGATGAGAAATAAATAACAAGAAACTGACACTATATTTCCTCCCCATCCTCATCACACACTCATAAAGCAAAAAACAGTCAACACCGAGGAAAGCAACTGGACAGAACGGCAACAAGATTAACCGCACAAATGCATTGAAAGTATCGCAACAGAGAAAAAACGGAACGATAAGACGTGAGTATCTGTATATATTTTCATTAACAAACAGAAACGCTCCGAGGAAGAATGGAATACAGACAGAGTGAGTGAGACACAACTTC